CTCTCCTCTTCTCTTTTTCTCTTTTTAGTGACAGAGTTTTGCTCTGTCACCCAGGCTGGAGCACAGTGGCTTGATGTCGGCTCACTGCAACCTCCGCCTCCTGGGTTCAAGTGATTATCCTGCCTCAGCCTCCCAAGTGGCTGGGACTACAGCACCTGGCACTATGCCTGGCTGATTTTTGTATTTTTAGTAGAGATGGGGTTTCAGCATGTTGACCAGGCTGGTCACGAACCTCTGACCTCAAGTGATCCTCCTGCCTCTGCCTTCCAAAGTGTTGGGATTACAGGCGTGAGCCACTGCACTCGGCCTGAATCATACTGTTTTTTGGTCACAAGACAGGGTGAGCAAAATTGGTAAAATCTGATTGTTTTTCCTCTGTTGGACAATGATTTTTTTTCTTGACTTAAAAACACAGAGAAAATTTAACATGAAGAGAGTAATGGAAAAATGTGTTACATGGGTTTTGATTGCTACTGTGGGTCCCTTTGCTGTTACTGTTGCAATCCTATGTAAGTGGAAATTGTTTGCTATTTTAATTCACTTTTTTTTTCATTCCTGAAGGTATTTTAATTTACTTTTATTCAACAAACACACATAGTATTAGCTTTGTGCCAGGTTCTATATGAGTGCTTTGTAAATGTGAACTCATAACAACTCTATGAAATAGTTGATATTATTATCCCCATTTTACAGAGAGAAAAACTGAGATCCAGAAATGCTAGGCAACTCAGCCAATAGTGACAGATCTGGACTTCTGACCTGGGCAGTCTTACACCAGTCTGTGCATGTAATCGCCCCCATATTGCCCCTCAGCTGCTGCTGAGCTGCAGTGAAAACAATCCTGATAAGGTGAAAGCAACCGAACATTACATGAACTCAGTTGCACACACTCTGTCTGTTTACTTAAGTAAAGACTAGGCTGGGCATGGTGACTCACACCTGTAATCCCAGCACTTTGGGAGGCCGAGATGGGCAGATCACGAGGTCAGGAGTTCAAGAGCAGCTTGGCCAAGATAGTGAAACCCTGTCTCTACTAAAAATACAAAAATTAGACTGGCATGGTGGTGCATGCCTGTAGCCCCACCTACTCTGGAGGCTAAGGCAGGAGAATCTCTTGAACCCGGCAGGTGGAGGTTGTAGTGAGCCAAGATCGTGCCACTGCACTCCAGCCCGGGCAACAGAATGAGACGCTGTCTCACAAAATAAATAAATAAATAAATAAAACAGTAAACACTCATATTTTTCCCAAGTGTGCTTTATTAGACACAGCCCATATTGACATTATATATGTACGAATATTGCTTTCTGTTCACAACTGTACTTTTTGGACAATTTAAAGAATTAAAGGACAATTTAAAGCATGTTTTGACCACCGTTTTCTTGCATGCTAACTTTATCATGGTGAAAAATGACTCACGTAATATGAGTCATATGGCTTTTGGATTGGCGACTTTAAGAGCTTGTTGTTTTGATTTATGTTTGTTTGCTTTTATTAAACAATATCTATTGGTTCTAAAAATGAATATCATTCCTGAGTTAATTACATTTGCTCAAATACTTTATTTTTTCTTTTTTTGAGATAGGGCCTTACTCTGTCACCCAAACTGGAGGGCAGTGATGTGAACATGACTCATTGCAGCCTCGAGCTCCCTGGCTCATGCCATTCTCCCGCCTCAGCCTCCCAAGTAGCTGGGACTACAGGTACAAGCTACCGTGCCTGGCTGTTTTTTTTATTTTTTGTAGAGACAGGGTTTTGCCATGTTACCCAGGTTGGTCTTGAACTCTTGAGCTCAAGCAAAACACCCGCCTCAGACTCCCAAAGTGCTGGGATTACAGGCGTGAGACACTGCACCCAGCCAAATACTTTTTTAAAACCCCCTTTCTCTTCCTGAAATGCTACTCTGCTTACTTCTCCAAAACTAATGAATAATTTGTTAATATAATACAAGAATGTTTTAATTCACTTGGGTAAATACCCAGGGGCATAATTGCTAGATTGTATGGTAAGAGGATGTTTAGTTTTGTGAGAAACTGCCAGACTGTCTTCCAAAGGGCTGTACATGCATTCCTTATATCCAGTTTTTTAAAACCTGCACACAGATATTTAAAACAGCTTTATTCATAATTGTTGAAAGCAATCAAGACGTTTTTCAGTGAATAAATAGATTTAAAAAAAAAAAAAAAACCTGTGATACATCTAGAAAAAAAAAATGGAATATCCAAGGACTGCAATGCAACTACAGAAGGTGTGTGGTACATCTTGATAATGGAATATTGTTCAGAACTAAAAAGAACTGAGCTCACAAGCCACAATGCATATTGCTAAGTGAAAGAAGCCAATCTGAAAAGACTATGACTCCAGCTATGGAACTGGGAAAACTATGGAGACATTGAAAGATCAGTGGTTGTCAGCTTTGGGATCAGGGATAGGGGTGAATAGGCAGAACAGAGTGGAGTGAAAATACTCTGTATGACTATAATGATAGATACATGTTTACTGCTAAGCATCTTGAATGACTATATATAAATTTACAAATATAGCAAATGTTTTTTAAATTCATAAAACCTTATCTTCAGTGGTTCTTTCAGAATGATTTTGAGAGGAAAAGATGGGAGTGATGCAGGGGAAGAGAAAGAAGAAGGTTCCGTTCCTGTTTATTTCCTGTGATCATTTAGTTAAAGCCTAAGCAACACCTCAAAGTTATAATGGCTTGATAATAATAAGAGCTTGCATTTTTGCAGCACCTTTCTTCCAAAGTGCTCCTATGGTTTGCAGACAGGTCTGAGCCTCACTTTGGGGTGACTCTTCCACATAGGATGCTAAAAACAGATCTTGTCTTGCTACTAACCAAACCTAATGAGTTTTCTCTGAAAAGGTGCCAAGTCCCCTTCCAAAGTACTTACCCTATATCTTTTTATGATCATCTCATTTTCTTAATGCAACTGCAGGATGTCAAAGGCAACAAAAGCAACTGTCTTTGCATGAACTCTCAAAAGGAGCCATTTAGGGTCTCTGCACTTCTTTTATCTAGTTAGGCAAAAGGGTTGTGATCCATCCATCCCAGTGGGTGGGGTGGGAGTGGTTGTTTTTACCTAACCTTTATTGAGCACTTACTTTGTGCTAGTCCCTGAACTAAGCGCTGTCTATGCATCACCTAGTTTAATCAAAACTAGAAAAATGTCTCTGGGTGACCAACGTGGGCCTCTTGTGATTACCAGCTAGTTGTCAAGGAAACTTAGCCACTGCAGGCCAGGCTGAACCAGGGAATAGAAACGTGGATCTCCCTGCCTCCGCAACAAGCGGATGAAGGTTCAATTCCCGGGGCCACCCCTCTCCCCGCTATCCAACACACTTAACGCTTACCCTCCTGGCTCAGCGAGGGCAGCGTGGGCAGCACCTGCCTGCCCAGGTCCTGCAGGGCAGGGGCGATCGTGTCCAACATCTCCAATTTCCAGTTGACTCCGTACTGAATCCTCGATGGGTCTCTTCTTTCTTATATGGAGCGTGTACAAAGTGATTTTCTCACACTCCAGCCCCTTCTCCACGGAGCTTTGGATGTGCCTTAAAAAATAAGAATGACGAAAATCTTGAATTTGTTGACTCTTTCTCTTCTTTCTTAAATAAAAAACATTCATTCTCCCTGTCCCTCCCCACTGCTCTGGCTCTTGGGCAGCTCCCTCCGCAGGAGCCGCCGGAACTCCTGTCCCGCACTCAGTGTACAGACCCTAGCCTTCTGGACCAGCAAGAGACCCGGTGAGGGGTGAGCTGCAGCCTCGAGGAGGGGAGTAGGACCAGGAAGAATAGACCCGGCAGAGAGAAGGGCGGGGCGGGGCGGGGCGGGGCGCGTCGCTGGGACGCGAGAAAGGCTCGCTCGGTTGCTAAGGCGTCAAGGCTGGGATTCGACCTCACCCCTTTAGATGGGCAGCTTCCAGGTTGCCCAGGTGATTAGGGCGCTGGAGGCAGCGAGGTTGGTGCTAACTAAAAAAAAAAAATAGTTTTTTACTTCTGTGAACCCGGGCAGCGAAGAAATGTAGTTAGAGTGGTAGGTTTTGAACCTTGGACAAATCGAGGAATGCCTTTCGCCCAGAGAGATGGGTATTTGAGTCCCCACATCTTTTGAGAGTTTCGAGTTTGAGCTGGAGTTTGTTTCTTGGTTTGCTTTTCCGTGGGCTCTCTTCCTAGGAATGGAGGGCTGGAGAAGTGGGGAGGAGGAAATTGACTTTTTTTTAACTACTGTCATTTCCCACTCTTTTCTACCTGTCACCAGTCTCATCCTTAAGAATTTTGTGCATGTTCTCTCCTCTGCTGATAATTATCACAAGCTGAACATCCCTATGCAAACCCCATCCAGGTCAAGAAATAGAATGCTAGCATATTCCACAGATCAGCACCTCATTTCCCCTCCAGTCATTAGCCAACACATACTGCAGGTTCCTTTTGCCTTTTGAATCTTTGGAATCATATAGCATGTATTCTTTTGTGTCTGGCGCTATTCAAATTTATATCATTTCATCATTTGCACTGTTGCATATTATTCCTTTTTATGAGTATTGCACAATTTATGCATTCCAGTGTTCAAGGGAATTTGAGTTGCTTCCCTTTGAGGCTACTGGGAATAATGCTGCTGCAAACATCCTCACAGAACACTTTTGACAGATGTATGTACTCATTTTTGATGTGTATATAACTAGGAGTAGATTCATGGGTCATGAGAAATGCATCTGATCAATTCTAATAGATAATTTAGCTACTTTTAGTGGCAATATTGGCATTATTGTTCCATGTTAAGATAATGAATTTATAAAAATAGTGTTTTACAGTACATTAGATTTTGAATTATAGTGATGATACTTTTAATCTCTAGAAAAGCTGTCTTCGGTTCTAGAAGATGGTTGTGGATGCTAATTATTAGTGAATTTTAGATGGCAAAAGGAAGCTCTAAAAGGATAAGGACAAAGACTTTTCTTCCAAGGTCTTATTTTCCTTCTGTCAAATGTCTCTTGACAAAAGAGGCTGTATAGATACATGTAACCCTGTGTTCACTAGAAACTTATAATGAGCTATAAATATATATATATATATATTGAAAATACATACTTTGCAGTTTCTAACAAAACTCGGGCAAACGATGCACTTCCACTGCTACAGATTTATTCCTTGTATATATTGGCATGATACATACAAAGATATATGTATATGCAACATTGTTTGTAATGCTAATTCTTAGAATTGGCCTAAGATGACCATTATAGGGAATTGGTTAAATTGTGAATACATACATTGAAATATATTTTCAACAGTTTACGTGCTGATGTTGAAAAAGTTTCAAATTACAGTAAGTGAAAACCAGTATCAGAATAGTATGTATATATAATGTAATCCTGTTTCCTTCAAATATAATTATATAAGTATGCATACATATTCATATATATTTTTGTAAACATATGGGATATTTGAGGAAAGACACACACACAAAAATTAACAGTGGTATTTTGAGATCCTGCAAAATTGTGTATGGAGGGGGAGGTGGCATTCCAATAACTTTTACATTCACTTTTCTCCTTTATTTACTGTTTACCAAGAGCATAAATTACTTTATAACATTTAAGATAATTTACCAAAGAGGAAGAGAATGTAGTAATTTATGTAAACACTGAAGGAAACAAACAGGGCCAAAATTTTCCCAAGTATTTCAATGTACATTTACTTTTTTGCAAGCTCCAACTTGCCTTGCAAAACCCACATTGAATGGGCAATCCTTTTTACCCAAGCCCCAAGGCACACATGATATTAAGTGGCTTATATTAAAGGCAACTTGGAAGACTATTGAAAAAGAATACACGAACACACACAAAATAATAAAATAAAAAATAAACAAAAAAATAACCGCTAAAAAACTCATTACACAACACCAGAATAGAAATTTGCAATAAATAATTTAACCCACATCTATTGAGTATCTAATTTGTGCTAAGCCCTTTGCTAGTGGCTAAAAGGAATACAGACACTTACCAGAAAATCCCTACAGATGAGAAGTTCACAATTCATTTTTCATCATTTTAACCAATATTTACTGCAGGAGGCTCTGAAATCAGGATTGGGTTTCAAAGTCAAAGAGTAAATTGAAAATTACAGGCCAGGTGTGGTGGCTCACACCTGCAATCCCTGCGCTTTGGGAGGCTCAGGTGGGCGGACCACAAGGTCAGGAGTTCGAGACCATCCTAGCCAACGTGGTGAAACCCCATCTCTACTAAAAATGCAAAAATTAGCCAGGCGTGGTGGCAGGTGCCTGTAATCCCAGCTACTCGGGAGGCCGAGGCAGGAAAATCAGTTGGACCCAGGAGGTGGAGGTTACAGTGAACCAAGATCACCCCATTACAGTTCAGCCTGGTGACAGAGTGAGACTCTGTCTAAAAAAAAAAAAAAAAGAAAAGAAAATTGGATGTAGGAAAACTACTCTAGAAATCCCTTCTTAGGAAGGGACCATGTCAGATACCCACATATGCCATTTCTCAGTTTATAGACCCAGTGCAAACAGTTTCATCCCTCACACTGGAGCAGATAACTTTCTTCAGGAGAGATGTAATGAAACAGTTGCTAGAGTTTAGGAGTCTTCAGCAGTGTTATTTTAAAAATTCAACCAAATAGTAAAATTGCATATATTCAACACTGTGCCATGCTTACACTATGAAATGCACTCATCAGCTGAGACAGATTGAAAATATAGCACATGTATAACTTCAGTCCCTTGCTTACTCAAGGATTTGCCCAAAAACAGACTTGCAGTAGCTTCATAGAGTGTCAACTTAGCTAAGATAGAACTACATTTTCCAGAATTCCCTTTCCTATATGATTCTAGGTTAGGGTTAGTCAAAAGAGAATGTGTATGAGATTTGGAAGGCGGAAGTAAAGCAGCAGCCATTTCATCTGAAGCCCTGAAAGTCATCATAGGGCCAGGCATTAATCTGCCAGCTCACCGTGTAGGCATGGGCCAGCAGCCTGGGCTGCAGCTCTGTAGCTCTGTATCTCCTGCCAGATCTCCTCATTTGCTTCTCTGAATCTTAGACCAGGTACATGCACAGCAGTGTTGCCAAACGCATCATCTCATCCTGTAAGACACTCACATCACTGAGGTTGGATGCAAGGAAAGATGTAGGTTGCAGTTTGTCCTCGCAGGATCTAGTTTGCCTGTGTGTAACTGCCCAACAGGTTCTTCTTGCCCACTGTCCAAATGAAGCCAATTTGTCAAGATGGGGGAATTCTAATTGAGAAAGAGTTTAATATGGGTTGGCTGGCCAAATGGAAGACTAGAGTTTTATTATTACTCAAATCAGCCTCCTTGAAAATTCAGAGGCTAGGGCTTTTTAATTTTGTGGGAAAGGAGCAAGGGGTCGGGAACGCTGATTGGTTGGGTCGGGGATGAAGTCATAGGAAGTTGAAGCTGTCCTCTTGTGATGAGTGAGTTTCTGGTGGAGGTCATAAGACCAGATGGGCCAATTTTTTGGTCTGGAATGTGTCACTAATCCATCAGAATGCAGGGTCAGAAAAATAGTCTCAAACACCCATCTTTTTTACAATAGTAATATTATCTATAGGAGCAATTGGGGAGGCTAGCAGTCTTGTGGCCTCTGGCTGCATGACTCCTAGGCCATGGTTTCCGAGCTTGTGGCTAATTTGTTGGTTTTACAAAGGCCATCTGGTCTCCACGCAAGGAGGGAATTTATTTCAGGGAGGGGCTGTTATCATCTTTGTTTCAAAGTTAAGCTATAAATTCCTCCCAAAGTTAGTTCAGCCTATGCCTGGGACAAACAAGGGCAGATTGGAGGTTAGAAGCAAGATGGAGTTCATTAGGACAGATTTCTTTTACTGCCATAATTTTCCCATGTCAGATTTTTCTCACTGTTATAATTTTTGTGAAGACAATTTCACTTGTGGGTTCCAGATTGTTCTAATCTTTCCTTTTTCTTCCCCAGTTCATGACCATCTTTTCTTCCTATTGGCCTTGCCAGCTTTAAGCCCTACACCAGGCATAGAGGCCAACACCAGACAGAGATGACTTAACCAACTCTTAAAACTATGTAAGGGCCCCATGCTCATAATAAATTTTATATTTTCTATCACTCTTACAGGTTCTGCTTCTCTGATTGAACCTGAATGATACAAAACTGGTAGTTAAAACTGAAGTATTTCAATTTAAAGTATTGTCTTTATGTTTTACTTAGACTTGAATCCACATAAATTATGTGTTTGTACAACTGCAGCTGTATTGTAAAGATTTGTTACCTTTAGTCTATTTTGTGTTGTTATAAAGGACTACCTGAGAAACTGAGTAATTTATAAATTCAAGGTGGCTAGAAGGTTCAAGATTGGGTATCTGCATCTGGTGAGGGCCTCAGGCTGCTTCATGGCAAAAGGCCAAGGCAAAGGGGAGCCAGCTATGCAGAGATCACTTGGTGACCGAGGAAACAAAAGACAGGTAGGGGAGATGCCAGGCTCTTTTTAACGGCCAGCTCTGAGGAATTAATTGTGTGAGCACCCACTCCCTACCTAGGGAGGTTATAAATCTATTCATGGGTTTCATCCCCATGACCAAAATACCTCCCATTAAGCCCCACCTCTAACATTGGTGATCAAATGTCAACATGAGGTTTGGAGGGGACAAATACCCAACCATAGCATATGTTAAATGTCATGTTTGAGGTATGATGACAATGTCATGTGAGTTCAGGGGGAGGAATATTACATCTCTATTAGGCCATTCTTGCATTGCTATAAAGAAATACCTGAGACTGGGTAATTTATTTTAAAAAGAGGTTTAATTGGCTCATGGTTCAGTGGGCTGTATAAGCATGGTGCTAGCATCTGCCCAACCTCTGGGAAAGCCTCAGTGAGCTTTTACTCATAGTGGAAGACAAAGCAAGAGTAGGCTCATCACCTGGCGAAAGCAGGAGCAAGACAGGGAGTGGGTGGGGGAAGGTGCCACACACTTAAACAACCAGATCTTGCAAAACTCATTCACTATCATGAGGATAGCAGCAGTCTATGAGGGATCTGCCCCCGTGATCCAAACACCCCCTGCCAGGCCCCACCTGTAACATGGAGATTACAATTCAACATTAGATTTGGTGGGGACAGATACTCAAACTATATCAACTTCTAACTGGTGTGATTGGCCTGAATCCTAACAAAGAAGCTTGAACTTTATTTGGAAGTTATGGATAGTTCCTTAAGGCCTTGAATAAGAGGATGACCTAATCACTACTATATTCTTCTGTATTATATTGAAAAGAAGTTTGAATTTCATTATATAAGTAATCCATATAACAGATAACAACTAATCAAAGTAATTTCTCAGAGAGATGAGGGGAAGCTACCAAATAACCAAAAAGATAACCACAGGAAGGCTGGCTACAAAATGATTAATGTGATTGAATGACAGCTATTTAGAAGCTTTTGACAGATGAAGCTGCAAAGATGCATTCATTTTCTTACAACACAAATGAAGAAAAGTAAATTAGCTAAGGTGATAAATGAGATTATCTTGACATTAAGCTGTGGAATGATCTCCCAAAGAAAAAATATAGAAAACTCATCAAGTCAGACTATTTGAAAATAGACCATATCCAGCAGGAGTTAACACACTATCACTATTCTACCTGGACTCTTTGCGAATAAAAGTCATACAATAGGGCTTTTTCATGTTTAATAGATGTTGTCAATGAATAATAAATATGATAATGATACCCATGTGCATAACATTATCTATTTATGAATAGAAGAGAAAGTTAGTATTTAAGCTGTACTCATCTGACCTACCCCTCTTATAAACATTTTGTACCTTTTTTCCATTTCACATAAGCTAAAGTGAGGAATTTGGCATTTGGAGATCTGATCTCAAGTCTAGTATTAACATAAATAGGTTTGTGTTTATAACCGAATAAAATATTAATATTTCTGAGCCTTGTTTGTTGTTAAAGTAGGAATTGTGACTATAAATGTTAATAGTATATCCCAATAAACTTAAAGAAATAATGGTAAAAGTAAAAATTTTGGGCTTCCAAAAATTCTAAGCCTGCAGATATCTGCCCCATTTTACCATAAGTTTATACAACTTTACATAGGCAAAACCCAATGTATAGTCTATAAACAAAAGAATGCCTCAACTATTTTTTAAAATGAGGAATACTGATAAATAAAAATATTTGTAAAAATTGTAAAATAAGTTATTTTAGGCAATATATAAGTTAGTCAGCCAATTCTCTTCATACAATATACAAAAATTAAAGTAGATCATAGACCTAAATCTAAAAGTAAAAGATATAAAACTTCTAGAATAAAACATAAAATAAAAATATTGTGATCTTGAGGTTAATCAAATATTTAAGACACAAAGCATGAATCATAAAAGTTAAAAACTTGGTAAGTCAGACTTTATCAAAATTCAAAAATTTTGCCCTTTAAAGGCACCGATAAGAAATGAAAAGGAAAGTCACAGAACAGTAGAAAATATTCACACTACAAAAACCTGACAACTGGTATACAAAATGTATTTTTAAAATCTCCCAAAGCTCAATAATAAGATAATTCAGTTTCTTTAATGGACAAAATATTTGAGCATGCATTTTACAAAAGCAGATATACAAATGGCCAGTAAGCAGATGGAAAGGTTTTCAACATGTTTAGTCATTAGGAAAACACATATTAAAACTACAGTGAGACACCACTTCATTAGGATGGCCACAATTAAAAAGACTGATAATACCAAATGTTAGTGAAGATGTGGAACAATTGGAGTTATACTCTAAAGGCATGAATGTAATTCTAAAGGTACTCTAAAGGTAGTTAAATGTAGTTCAAAAAACTGGCAGTTTCTTATAAAGTTAAACATACACTTATCATATGACCTGCCATTCCAGTTCTATGCGTTCAACCTGTAGATAAAAAAAGGGGTTCACACAAAGTGTTAAACACAAATCTTCACACACAAAGTGTTAAACGCAAATCTTCATAGTGGCCTTATTCACAATAACCAAAAATGTAAAACAGCCCATGTGTCCATCAAATGGAAAATGGATAAACAAGTAGTAGTACCTCAATACAAAGTAACACTACTTAGTAATAAAAAGGAATGAACTCCTGACAGGTTATAGCATGGATGAACCTCAAAATCATCATGCTGATAGAAACAAGACACAAACAATACATACTGTGTGGTTTCATTTATATAAATTCTAGAAAATGCAAACTAATTAATAGTGAGTCCAGCAAATCAGTGATTGTCTGGGGCTAGGATCAGAAGAAGAAATGAACTGCAAAGGGGGAATGGGAAATATTTGAGGGGTAATGGGTATATTCTGTATCTTGAGTGTGGCAGTGATTTCACAGGAGTCTATAGCTACAAAATTCATACAAGTGTGCACTCTAAATGGGTGCAGTTTATTGTATATATCTTGATGAGGATTTTTCTTTAAAAGAAGCAACCCAGAATTCTAGAGCAAACTTAAATAAAATTTAGTTAATTCAAAAGTTGACTAAAAAAGAACTTACTTGAGGATTTTGACAGTAGACAGAAAACAACATATATCCAGACGAATGAACTTAATGAAATTATCCAAATTGAACCTCAAAAAGGAAAAAGGTAAAAAGAACCTCACGCAGTAAGAAATGTGAAATATATGAAGTTCTAGGAAGAGAAGAAAATAGGAAAAAAGTAATCATTTGAGAAAAATGGCTGATAACTTTCCAAATTGATGAAAGGTATTAATAAAATCTTCAAGATGCTTAGCAAGCCCCAAATAGGATAAATACAATGGAAATGACATGTAGGTACATAAAAGTCAAACTTATTAAACCAGATATTAAAAAGACAATCTTAAAAGCAACTAGAGAATAAGACAATCAATCACAAGAAATCCACTGACATCATAATCAAGGCATCCAAGTACAAGACTATACTTAATGATAACTTTCACTTGCTGAAAGAAAAAACTGCCAAACTTGTGTTCTATACTCAGAAAAAATATTTTTCAAAGTCAAGAAAAAAGTTTCAAAAATTTCTCAGGTAGGCCAGGCACAGTGGCTAACACCTGTAATCCCAGCACTTTAGGAGGCCAAGGCAGGTGGATCGCCAGAGGTCGGGAGTTAGAGACACCAGCCTGACCAACATGGAAAAACCCCATCTCTACTAAAAATACAAAATTAGCTGAGCATGATGGCACATGCCTGTAATCCCTGCTACTTAGGAGGCTGAGGCAGGAGAATCACCTGAACCTGGGAGGTGGAGGTTGAGGTGAGCCAAGATTGTGCCATTGCACTCCAGCCCGGGCAACAAGAATGAAACTCCTTGTCAAAAAAAAATCAGGCAAATAAAGTCTAAGAAAAAAGCAGAGGATGTTCTTCGGCTTTAAGGAAAATGATACCAGATAGAATATGAAAGTGGAAAAAAGAATGAACAGCTCTAGGGAGGGTACATTAATAGATAAAACAAAATTGACTATTGAAAGCAATAATAACTATCTCATTCAAGGTTTTAACATGTAGAAATAAAATATATAACTAGAAAATCAGAATAAGCCATCAGGCAACAAAGGAATCACTGAGAGATGAGAAACACATGAGGTAAATCCTACAATTGCCTCAGCTTACTGCCTAGAGAAAGTTTTCAGACTGTAATGCAGGGATAGGAGAAAACTACAAAACCACAGAGAAAGTTCCAGAGATCTTCAGAGGATCCCCTAAGGTATACAGTTGAGTACTGATTTGTACAAGCAGGTGAGGAAGCTATGCATGGCCAGAGAAAAGAACCATCGAAAAGAATCAAAGCTAATAGTGTCTACAGATCACAGAAATCCAGGAAAAGTACCTTTTCCCAACAGTCAGAGTAGAAAACCTCATAATTCATGGGGTGTTGGATAGGAGTACAAAGAATGATCTTGGCTCAGTAGTGAGGAAAATTAACCTTATACTAAATACTGCTTCAGTTCTTCCCAATAAAGCTAGAAGGAAGACCTAAAACTCCCTTTTAGCCAACCTGTTTTAAAGTAACTTAACTGCATCCCAAAAGCAAGTTTAATAATACTTACAGGAATACAAAAGTATCAAGAACCAAACAAGGTAAATTTCATAATGTCTGACATCCAACAAAAAATTACCAGGCATGCAAGGAAGCAGGAAAGTATGATCCATAACAAGGAAAAAAAAAATCATTCAATTTAAAAGTGACTAAGAAATCACACAAATAATAGAATTAGTAGACAAGAACATTAAAACAATTATCATATTAGTAGTT